GGTCAGGGCAAGAGAAGCAGACGCGCCACACTGTCCGGAAGGACTGCTGCACAGGAGCCTCTGAGAGAGGATGCAAACCCGACGGGTCACACCGAGTACCCCCACAGCCATCGAGTCGATTCCGACTCATAGCAACCCTGGGGCGCAGAGTGAGATGACTCCCTCCGGTTTTCCAGGCTGCAAATCTCCACCGGAGCAGACAGCCTCATCTGTCTCCTGAGTTCTGCTTAACACAGTGGTTCTTAACCTTCCTGATGCCCCAACCCTTGAATACAGTTCCTCATGTGGTGGTGACCCCCCAACCATAAAATTACTTTTGTTGCTACTTCATCACTGTCATTTTGTTACGGTGATGAATCGGGCGACCCCTGTGAGAACCGCTGGCTCAGCCGAACCTGCAAGACCAAGCCTGTGGCCGTCTAGTGGGTACACGTGGTTCAGAGTTGCAATGCACTTCCTTGGGATTTCAAGGCAGGGACCTCGCAGAGGCTGATCCCCACGCCTTTCTTCTGAGGTGCCTGCGTGGATTTGAACCACCAACCTTCTGGTCAGCAGTCGAGCCCCTTATGCAGTTGCTACTGTTTGTGCTACCCAGAGACGGTCCACACATCATAGCAGTGACTCAAAGGCAAATCCCAAACTCAACGCCACTGAGTCGACTCCAACCCATAGCAACCCAACAGGACAGGGCAGAACTGCCCCTATAGGGTGTCCGAGACAGTGACTCTACGGCAGCAGAAAGCCCCGTCTTTCTCCCGTAGTGGTGACTACTGCGTGAAACAGGAAGTCCGTGATGGCAGCAGGTGTGTTGGGTCAGGGGCAGATGGGAAGCACGGGTTTCCTTGTGCTTACTTACTAACCTGTTGTGAACCACTTAATATGAGTGTGTGTCAGGGAGCCCTCAACCCTATGGCCTCCGCCCGCCTCCCCGCGGCCAGCCCCACCTCCTCTGTCCGTCAGGCCCTGTGTGTGTGGCACATGGCCCAGCAGGGGCCACGGAGAGATATTTCTGTGCTCTGTGCTTCACCTGAGTCCCAGCAAGGAGGGGCGTCACAGAGAGCCGAGAGGAGTGTGGAGTGTCCCAGGGTCCCGGGCGACTCAGATCCCTGCTTCAGAAGCCGCCTGGGGCCCTTCACAGGTCTCCGATGACAGCAGTCTGTGGCTGAGGAAGGGACAGGTGGCATCCTTGTGTTTAACTCTGTTGACTTCCCTCACTCCGAGCTGGGCTGGGAGACTGTGATGACCCAACAGCCGGAGCAGGGCCCGACACCGGGCACGGTTTGCAGGAGAGAGCACTGCACAGCTCCAAATGCCCGTCTGGTGTGTCGCTGGCCCTCTGATCATAAGCACAGGCTGCCAAATCACCCAGAGCAATCCCCTCCGTGGCACTGAAGGGGGAGGAGGGAAAACCAGGGCTGTGTTTTTCTAAGAGCCAATTTGAGGAGCGGCGATTGCTTCCTTCCCTCTGGGGTTCTTCCTCCTGGCGATCCTGCTCCGGGTGCGGATGGCTAAACCTGGCCTTCCAGGGCTGGGAGGGGACCTCCGGACTGAGTGCCATGGAAATCAATGACCGTCTCTGAGTCCCCCAGAATTCCAGGCAGGGTACGGGGCTCTGGATGGGCAGATGGAAGGGGTATCTGCTATTTCTAGCTGACCGCGGCTTTGGAAGGCCCCGCTCTGCTTTCCGACGTTGCTGCTCTGGTGTGCCCTGTAGTCCATCCTAGGGGACCGAGTCGAACTGCCCCAGTGGGTTTTCTAGGCTGTGGGCTTTACAAAAGCAGACGGCCAGCTCTTGTCTCCTATGGAGCTGCGGGTGGGTTTGAAACACTAGCCTCACCACTGGCTTCTGAGTGCTTAACCATGGCACCACCAGGGCACCTTCCTCACCTGCGTGTCATAACTCAGTGCCGGCGAGTCGATTCCAACTCATAGCAACTCTGTAGGTCGGCGTAGAACTGCCCCTGTGGGTTTCTGAGACAGGGACTTTTTAAAACCGCATCTTTCTCCCACGGAGCAGGGAAGGTGGTTTTCAACTGCTGACTTTGTGGTCAGCAGCCCAATGTTAACTCGCTACCCCACCAGGGCTCCTCTCATGTGGACACAGCCTCACGATTTTAGCCCCACATTCACAAGGCTTAAGACTACATTTCCCAACTTGCAGCTTGATCCAGGCAGGTGATCTGAGTTCCGTCACTAGATACACCCATTCAAGACACCCCTTAGGAAGGGAGCCACGGGGACAGGGAGACTTTCCGGGGGGCTCACGCTGAAGATTCTGGTGGTCACCGGGGCCATGGAGGAGTGTGTAAACCCAGGCAGTTGTACAGGGTATTCAGGGAGAGCAGGGAGGGCGACAGCCTTATCATCTACTGATTGAAGGCAGGGCATTGCCCACTGACCTATAAGCGCTTTTCCATGAGCCTGGAACTCTGGCCTTCCCTGGCACGTCTTTTCTGCTTCAGTGACCCAGGAGCACCTGTGAGCTGGAGCTTAAAATTACCCAATCCAAATCAGGACCACAGTCTCATGAAACACCAAGGTCAATAGACATAAGTTCCCAAAGACAGTGTTCTACAGCCTGCCTTAGTGAGTAGTGATGGGGGTTATAAAAAGTTCACCCACTTAGGGTGAAACTATTGGTGCTCCCCATCTGAAGGAAAGATGAGTGAGCATGGTGGAAATGGTGAGGCATGTGGAAACATTTAGTCTAATAGACTGATGAACCACAAAAACATCAGCCTCCGTGGCAGAGACAGAAGAACTAGATGGTGCCCAGCTGCTGCCACCAACTGCTCTGAAAAGAATCTCAGACATAGTGGCAGAAAAATGTGGCAGGAAACTCAAAAGCATAAAAGAGACCAGATTTATGGGTCCTAGAGAGACGGGTGTAGAACTCAACTCAGCCCATGTTGAGAGTGATCCACATTTCAGATCACAAGGTCAGTGTGTACTCAACGCGCTAGAAAAAAGGGTGAGCAGAAACAAGAAAAGCCAGGGGGGACATGGGAGATGTGATGGCCCTTTGAAGTACATTGCAATGGATAAGGTGAAACAAAATGTGTATGAACTATTGAATGGAAAACTGATGATCTGCTCCGTAACTTACACTGTAATTGTCACTAAACAAAAAACAAAAAAAAACCTAGCCCAAGAAGCACACTCAGATGTGCGACCTGATTCCATTTGTAAGCAAGAGTTCCAGAAAGCTCCCCTTATAGGGAGAAGAGTTGTGTCTTACATAAAGGGCTTGAAGGAGTCTTGCTGGTGCTGTGGTTCGGCACTAGGCTGTAAGGACAGGATTGGTGCTTGGAACCCACCAGTGGATCCATGGAGAATCCACAAAGATCGCAGCCTTGGAAACCCAACGGAGCGGTTTTTCTCTGCCCTGTAAGGTTGCTAGAAGTGGGGTTTAAGGATCACTTGGGCTTGGTACGGCATCTCATCAGGGTCAAGGGCATCTAGTAAGCTGTTCTTGTTAGGTCAGACTCAGAGAAAATTTGTCATGAGAAACGATAGGCTGGGTGGGGTTGTTTAGGAGCATGTCTGCTGTGGGGAGACCTTTCTCCCCGCCCGCAGCGCCACTGTTAGAGGCAGCCTCCCAGGCCGCAGAGTTTCCCTCATCTCTGTGAGGGTCGGGCTCACTCTTGAGAGGGTGCACCGTTCACCACTGGTTGCTGCAGCAGGTTTTAGTTACACAGCTCAGGGTTGTGTGCCGGGACTCTGTAGAGGAAGGGAGCAAGCCCCGTGCCAACAGGTCAATTCCGACCCTAGTGACATTATAGGACAGACTGGCAGGCACCCATTGTGTTTCCCAGGCTGTGATCCCTACGGAAGCAGACGGCCTCCTCTTTCTCCCAAAGAGCTGCTGGTGGGTTTGAACTGCTGACTGTTCAGTTTTAATCACTGTTCTCCCAGAGCTCCTATAAGAAGGTGGTAGGACCCTGACAACACTTTCCACGTATTTCCCAGGTCTGGCTCGCTGTGAGTTGTGAAGCTGCTGTTTTTGAAGAACTCAGAAAGGACCCACCACAGCCAGTGATCGCTGTCAATCAGAATGGGGGTTAGATCATTTCTCGACTCCCTCAATTTAGGAGATCTAAACACAGGCCAAGAAGCTTCCTACTATGTGCGTGTGCAATCATGGAGGTAGACGGGAACCCGGAAGTGTTAGGAACTGCCAGGCCACGGCTCCTGACAAGGGAAGGCAGTCTTTAGCATTCCTCTCCTCTACCACAGAGAGAACTCACTGCAGCGTGGTGAGCACTTTTCTTCCCAGATATGGGATGTAATTTTCCCCTTGCTAAGCTTACCTGTTAGCAAAGGGAGGTGATGCAGAAGGGAGTATATGATGCAGAAACCCTGACACCTTCAGATGTTTGAACCCAGCCCCCTCACTGTGTGATCTTGGGCAAGTTCCTTCCTCTATTAGATGGGAAGATTATTAATTCTTGTGGCATGGTTACAAGGAGCATATTAACGCTGTAGGTAAAATACCTGCTCTATGGTAAAGGTAAAGGCTGAAGAGATGGAGATTCATTCAGTGACAACTAGCACATGCAACCTTGCCCAGTGCTGGTGATCACAAAAGCCCAAATCCAAACTCTGTCCTTGAGTCAATTCTGACTCATAGTGACCCTACAGGATGATGGAGTAGAACTGCCCTTGTGAGGCTGTAAATCCTCGCCGAGCAGAAGCTTCCTATTTCTCTGGAGGCACACCTGGTGGGTTAGACCTGCTGCCCCTATGGTTAGAAGCCTGGTGTGTAACACTGGTCACGTCCTCATCACGTCCTCCAGGCTCCTTGGGGGATAACGGGTGGAGAGTCAGCTCACCAGAAACCTCTGGAAGGCAGCAGGTCCCTACCAGGATGCAGTAGGCATGGCCTTCAGTGGGGTGAGCTAAGGGTACTACCACCCCACTGTTCATCTCCGCCACATGGTCCCCTCGTTGAACTAGAAAGCAGAGGACAAGTTGCCCTTGGGAAGCTGGGTTTACGCTTTTATTGTGAGCAGTCACAGGCAGGGGCTTGACTGTAGTGGACGAAGGGGAGCCTTGGTGGCGCTGCGGGCCAAGCATGAATCGGAAGACTCTTTTTAGAGGATGGTTTCCCGCAGGCAATAGGAAGGCGCTGGTTGGAAACCATGGGTTCGCCTAGGTGGAAAGGTACCAGAGGAGGAGACAAAGGAGATTGCGCTGCCATCCGGTTGTAGAACGCAGCCTTTTCAGGGTTTTGTTCGCTCCCTGGAGAGGCGGCCACCTTGGCCGATTAATTATGGGTGCTGCCCTTCGCCAGACGGGGCAAGGGGTCCACCTACTTCAAACACAAGAAAAAAAGAGAGAGAGAGGAAGAAATCCAGTTAGGAATTCGGAAGTCTAAGAAAGCCCAGCCGTCTGCTATAGAGCGGATTTGGATATAAGCTGCACCACGGGCTTCGGGGACTTTGCTTGGCTGTGACTTTCAGACGGAGACCGCCAGGCCTTTCTTCAGAGGCACCATGGGTTACATTCACACCGCCAGCTTGTCCATCGCAGCCGAGCACTGCCCCACGGGCGCCGCTCTAGGGCTCCTCTGAAATCGAATACATTCCCAACAAGCCATGAGCATGGGGTTGGGGGAGGTGGGGGGCTTGTTAATCAGAAATTCTGGGGGCGGGACCAGCAACCTGCACTGCCGTGGGGCTGTCGCATGATTCTGAGGCAGAGAACACAGCTCTTGCCTGAGACACGCACTTCCACTTTGTTATTATTCCTCTTTGAGCGACTGTCGCTTGAGGAGCCCTATAGGGTGGCTACGTCAGAATCCATGCAATGGCAGTGAGCTTGGTGGGGTTTTGCGGTTTCAGCACCTTCCCTGGCACCCCGACAGGAGCACCATTGCCCATTAACTGCATTCTCCTCCCGGGTTTAGTACATCTGGAGAGCTAGGTTTGCACCAGGACAGGGACGAGCCTTTGGCTGGGCACTCCTTTGGACTTCTGCCCATTCTGAAGTGTGGGCGGTTGCCCCGGAGTGGCTTGTAAACAAACTGAGACAGAAGAAAGAGGGAGCGGCTATCATTGAACAGCCCTTCTTTGTCTCCACACAGCACCCCTGGAGAAGAGCAAACTCCTCCCACCTACACAGGTGCTTATCACACTTCCCTAGCTTCTCAGGACCCTCTGATTTCCCGGCCTCCACAGCAGCCACTTGTTACTGAGAAAGGCCTGATTCCCTACTGGGCAGCTCAATTGTTCCGGCCAGAGGGCTAAGGAGGCCAGAGCTGGGGGTTTGATCCCCACACGGGTCATTCCAGTTGCTTGCCTAAATGAGGTTGGGCTGCATGATTCAAGCCTGACAGCCTCCCTGAAGGTGCCGCCAACTTGCCCTGGTCAGAAAGGGGCCAGTCGGGGAAGCTCCCCAGGGATCCCCAGCAGAGAGGTCTGGTTCAAGAGCCTTGGAGTCGTGCTGAGAGAAGAGGGAAGGGCAAGCGCTTGCAGGCCCATCGCTGGATGTGGAGTGGAGGGATGGATGTGGGGCGGGAGTCGCCCCTCCACAGGAGCGCAAGGTATTTAGAGGGGCATGTTTTTTCCTTCCTGTCTATTGTCTGTTCCTTTGTCATGCTGCGGTGGCTTGTACATCGCTATGATGCTGGAAGCTCCGTCACCAGTATTTCAAAACCCAGCAGGCTCACCCAGGGTGAATGGGTTTCACCGGAGCTTCCAGACGAAGGGCAAACGATGAAGAAGGAACAGGCTGTCCACTTCAGAGGAATTGGTCACTGAGCACCTACGATGACTTCTGAGTGGCTGGTGAGGAATACTGGACGTACAGTGGACCGCCAAGCGAATCTGTCTCGGAAGAAGCCCAGCCAGAACTCTCCTTAAAGCAAGGAGGGCAAGACTTCCTCTCACGTCCTTTGGACTTAACAGGAGAGACCAGTCCCGGGAGAGGGATGTCAGAAGACCCTCAATGAGATGGACGGACACAGTGGCTGCAACGATGGGCTCAAACAGAACAGCGATTGTGAGACAATGCTTTGCCCTGTCATGTACGACGTCACTATGAGTCGGAGGTGGGGTAGAGGTTACGTATGGGGCTGCTAACCTTGAGGCCAGCCGTTCAAAACCACCAGCTGCTCTGTGGCATTAAGAGGAGGATTTCTACTCCCGTGAAGACTTACAGGCGTGGGAATCCCCAGTGGCAGTTCTACCCTGCCGTATAGAGTCACCATGAATGAGAACTGGCTTGATAGCAGGGAGGTGTTGTTTTTCGTGAGTCAGAGCCACTCAACAGCACCTAACAAGTGTAGGTTGTATTCCAGCCACACCCCCAGCCCCCTATGGAGCATTTTAAACATTAGGAAAGAAAGCCTTTCCCCGGAGGTGCCCCAGCATAGGAGACCCGAAGAGCCCCCGGGTCCGGAGGAAGCTCAGAAGTAGGAAGGGACAGGAAGGAAGGGTGCAGGCAAACCACAAAGTAGGATGGCATGGGGAGAGTGCCGCCCCATCGTGGGCACCACAGCCAGTGCCCCGCATTGTCGAACAAGCCTGGTGCCACTGTGAGTTAAGCACTGAGCTCCTAAGAGAAAGGTCAGTTGTTGGAGTACATGCCCTAGACGTGCACCCCCATCGCAATGAAAAGAAACACCGTCACAAAGCCCACATGGAAGCAGCACACCAACATGTGTGATCATGAAGGGCCAAAGGGACCAGGCTTCAAACACCAAAGGCGGGGAGAAAAATCATA